TTGCTAGTCCCTGCTTTATCCATTAAGCTCTCTGGCTCTAGATTTAAATTTCACTCCTCTAAAAATGTTCTTCCTGGCTGCCCCAGCCAGACAATCTTCCACCATATCACCATCTTTTTTCTTAGAGATTATAATTACATCATTTCTCCCTTTCCCTTCCTCCTTCCTCACTCTCGTTCTCTTTCAAATCCATGGCCTCTTTTTTCATTAATTGTTGATAGATTCATACGTGTACACACACACACACACACACACACACACACACACGTACACACTCCTATTCAGTCTGTATCATGTTACTTGTATGTATGTTTTCAGGGCTGACTATTGGCTAACAGTGTGCCCTCCGCTGGCAGACTGTTTTCTCCCACTCTCAGCATTCCTTAGTTGTCCACACTTCTTTTTGTAGGGTTGAGGCCTTATGGACTTTACCTGGCAATCTTAAATTTAGATCACACTATCTTTTTTATTTACTCTTATAAGTGTTAAGAACTTTAGAGAACGTTTACGGAGCTTAGGTGAGCAAAGAACAATTCATGAATCAGACAGCCTTCAAAGCCAGAGACAGGACAGGTTGGGAAAGTCTGCTCTGTGGCATGGGCAAGCATCACCAAGACAGAGTGAGGGACAGGGACAGTTGCTTGGCAGACTGCTAACACCAAGACTGGCCTGTGTTTTCTTTATCTGAGCATAATCTAATCAGCCGATAGTTTGTGATTGTCGAAGACTCAGATATTTGTTACCAACATATACACTTAAGTTATGCTTTCTGTGAGTTTAGATATCATTTAGTGGCAGGCTCATCAAGTAAGGGCTCGAATTATGGAAACGTCCTTAGGTCAATGGTATTTTAGTATAATATAATCAAATGGCCAACTCAGTTTACTGCTTATCTCCCCTCCTGTAATATAAGTACCATGAGTCAGCAGCTACCTGCTACCTAGGCCCTCCTGCAAGCCTAGTTCAAGGCGCCTATCCATCAATTGTAGTCACATTCACAGTATAAAAAAATGTACCATATGACCCTCATTGTCATCTGGCTTGACAAATTGAATGTACATTTAAAAAATATAGAGAGAGAGTTCCTTTGTAATTGCCAGGTAAGACACGGCGCATTGCAGAGTGGAGTGAGGAGAGTCAGAGAGATGTTGAGGTAGAGATGGCAAATGACATCATGAACAGTATAGTGTTCTGGCCACAGGAAAACCAGGTCAGATCCGACTGTGTCCGCCACCTACACAGCGACTGGAGCCTCTTACATATGCTTTCAGTCCATCCCTGCTGTGACAGCCTTTAAATTGGGAATTTTGTCAGGCGTAATATGCTTCTTTCTCGGCCAAACGCAAGGTGCATATTTTAGCTTGCTACTCCACTCATGCTAGCGTTTAAAGCTGTGAATAATAGCTAAGATACACTCATCCACAAGCAGGAAATTTAGAACAACACGTTCGGCCTGCTAATCTTCTGCTTTTAGCATCTCCGATTCGCAAAGGAACTGGGAACTGCGGAAAGGCGCGTGCTACTATGCCGAGATGCTGCCTTTCAGTTCACACTATTCTGTTATAGCCTTCAGAGCAAAAAGAGCCGGGGCACCTTAAAACAATACTGAGCCTTAACCACTGTGAGAAAATAAACTCTGCTCGGCTGTGTGTTTACTGAGTGGACAGCTCCCTCCCAAAAGAAAACAGAAGCAAACCTTCCAGGCCTCCACAAGCCAGAACCTTCCTCCGGATGACTTCACTGAGGCTTGAAGCTTCAGGGTTTCCAGAAATCTGACTGACAGAATGAAGTGCCCCATGTCCCCAGACTGATGTCATTCATGTCTAATATTAGCAGCAGAGCGTTTCGGGTTCACCTGGGAGAGGGGAGCTTTTATTTTTGAGTTGAACGAGAACAGATACTAAAAATGAATGTGGTGAGACTTCCTTCTGGCGTATCTGACACAGATAGATCAGGGAAGCCTGTGCAGCGAGACTATTTTGGATCAAAGGGGGAAGGAATCCGAGGTAGTTGGAAGTCCGATGGGCCTTAAGACATTCTCTTCACCTCACTCGTGAATTCTGAGGAATTCAGACATAAGATGAAATATGATAAAGTCATTTGGCTATTCGGTGCCACCAAAGATCATAATGGGCTTGTAAAAACCCTACCTGGGTGACAGAATGGATCCAGGAGATGCGTTTTAGCTCAGCATGAGTGATGCACTTGGTTACTGGATGTTGTAGCCACGTGTACAAAGAACTGAAGGTACATTTGGGACTCAGTGGGTCCCATCTGTCAAGTGTTTGGGCTTCTGTCATCTAGCAGGGTTTAGATGGGTCAGAGGAGCCGGTCGCTGCCACATTTCTGACTCCCATGAATGGACAAAGTCAGAAACAATATTGTCCTGCCACTTGGTATAACTGCAGTAGTACTGGGATTTCATGCCCTGCGTGAGTGGCGTTTCCTTCCACCTTCTCCTCCTGGAAGGTGAGAATCATCATCATGTGTCCAGAGTGATTTATTTATCTTAAAAATAGACAAAGTAAGGGCAGTGCATCGAAAGACTCAGAAACCTCTATTTTATGGAAAGTAGCTGCCACTTAAAAATGGCCACCTGAGTTTAGTAACCATTTTCTGTAGAAAAAGAAAATATTTAGAGAACATACCAGAGATTAAAGAGTTGAAAGAAAGAAAACCACTAAGGCTCCAATGGGGCTGTGATCACTGGATCAGCATTTGTCTGTAGTTGAACTTTCCTTCCATTCCACATTTTCCTAAGACGTTTATTCCAGAAAGGCTGCCTTCTATGTGTAAATCAATGGAAAGGGAATGGACTATGGTTACTTCTCGCTACTTGGCCATTCATTTTTGCTGATAGTTCTCTAGTTCAGTCTTCCATCTTGACTGACCATTAATTGTCTTATGTCACCGTTATAGGGGAAATAGGGCAGGCAGTTCTCTGCCTTGGGTGGGTTGCTAAGAAAGTGTTCAGTCACACAAACTTGCCGTTTTTGAACTTGGAGAGCTCTGATCTGTACAAGCTTAGCCTTAAAGCTGCCTTGTTTTGCTTTGCCTTGTTGATTGGTTGTTACTGTTGTTAACTTGTTTGTTTGGCATTGTTATTCCCCCTCTGTATCATTCTCAAATTCACCAAATGCTGGTAAAGTTCCCCAGCAAGCCTTGTCTAGATCTGTTTCCTCATGCCAAGCACAGACTGCCCAGCCCATGCTCCCAAAGACTCCTGAACTGTGATGACATGTTGTGCTCTACCTTGTCCCTCCTTGGACTTGGGTTTTTGCAAAGTAGAGACTTGGGTTTTTGCTGTGCCTTGTTCCCCTCTGTGCCCCAAAGCTGTGCCCGGAACACAGTGACCTCTCGTTAAGCATTTACTTCCCTATCTGTGCTGGATGTCTTTGCTGGGAGACTCTGGTGCTCACCTGCAATTCAGTTGTTGCTTTGTTTCATCCTGAATGCTATGTTCTTTCATTCTTCCTGTTAAACTATTTCCTCTCTAAGTTCCCATCTTTGGAAATAGGCCGAATTATTATGGAGGAAGATCTTCCAGTTACTCTAATGAGTGCTCCCCCATACATATACACCAAAAAAAAAAAACCCAAAAAACAATGCCTTAAGAATTTTTTTCCAATGGAAGATGTCCAATTACTTCTCTCCTATTTAGTAGTTCAAACCATGTTTCACATGTCCTTGTTCGCAAGTTTCCTTCCAGTTGCAAATAGCCAAAGAGTGTGGGAAAATCCAACACCATATCTGTTAGAGCCAGCAGCCAGGCAGCACTAACCCCCCCCCATTTTGGCCTACCATTATCACAGTTAATCAGATTCCATGCACGTAGAAATGACCCTGACTGAATGCCACAGATGCCAACAGCCCATCCTACTAGTGAAGAAATCAAACCCCAGGAAGCCTTTTCCTAAGGTTCCTCAGCTAGTGGAGCAATGGGTGAAAACCCCAGGCCTTTCATTCTGCGTTCTGATGCATACTTGACTCCCTATGCAGTCACATGGATCACTTTGGTGGCCTTTTATAGGCTATAAAAAAGCAAGAGAAAAACCCAGGGTGAAATAAATGAAAATACTGATTACTAACTCTTAAGAAACCAAAGCGGATGACAGAGCGAGGAGAACAAACTGGTAAAGGGATCAAGGTTTCGCTCTGAAGCAGAAGCTGGAAGGGGACTGTGCAGCACGTGGTCAGAATAGGGGAGAAATTTTCCCCAAAGTTGCAATTATTTCAGCTTTGCCTCCTTGGTGTGATCTGCACACTGGTTCTATGAGACATTCGCCAGGTGGGAATTTGGTGTCCTCTCTGAGAAATATTAGAGGACAGAAATGGGTTGATTCTGGATTTCCATAAAGACTTAAATGAGCGCCCCAACACCTGCTTCCATCGCTACGCTGACTTAGAAAGCTATGTTCCTTTTACTTGATGAATTTTTAGGGATGAAAACCAAAAAAACAAGTCGAGAAATAAAAGAAGACTTCTTCTTTAAAGGGTTATCTGAACTTCCTGTGTTAATTTTCTGCAAACTTGTATACAATAAATTATAGTTACGATGGATTTATGTGTGTTCTTTATTTGGAAGTAATGGTCTCTCTTAGAAGTCATGAAGTCAGTAAGTCAACATTTATTAAGTGCACCTTCTGGGGCATTGTCTGTGATGAATGATTGAGAGTTGGTTAGTGAAAAAGGCAAACGCTCTTGCTCTGGAAGAAAGCACTTTCTAGAAGGAAAGAGAGAGATGTAATATCAAATTAATAAAGACAATTTAAAATTGCAAAGCTTCATCTTGTGGCAGATAATTTGTTCTTAGGCTAAGCCTGAGAGATTTTTGAGTTTCTCAGTGACAAAATGAGATAGGAATGCCATGAAAATAGCAAAGAAAGAGAGGAACTTCTCAAGCTGCCCCAGCTCTTGTCAATGAAGAGAATATTCAGGGCTAAGTTGCATGCTGCTTCACACGGGGAAGTGTTAACTGTGTGACTTTGCTTTTGTTCTAGGAATCTTGGGAAATCAGGACTCAGAGTGTCTTGCTTGGGTCTTGGTAAGTACTCAGGGTGTTATTGAGGGGACGGGTGGGAAGGTGGGAGACTGAGGGGTTACCAGAGAATTACTGTAATGTCAGTTGATCAGGGTTCGATCTCAGAGGAGGGAGACTGAGGGGTTACCAGAGAATGACTGTAATGTATGTAAGCTGATCAGGGTTTGATCTCAGAGGAGGGAGACTGGCCAGGTTTGCCCCATTTCCCCTCTGAACCTTTCCTGGTCCAGCATTCCCCTCTCCCTGTCTAGGCCCAAGGAGTCATCATGTTCATTCATCTTTTCCCTCAAGCAGAAAGCAGCCTCGGAGGAAGAGAACCGTGCACCTCTCCTGCTCACCTAATGTACAAGATGTAAATATGCATACATTGCTTACCTTAGCCTGCCTTCAGTTTACCTGAACGCCTCTCTGTTCTTACTTACCCTTTGACTAATTTCTCCACTTACTTCTCAAAATTGTTATATATTTTATGTGTTTTTAAAAAGCTACTTCAAATTATTGGGAGCAAGCTGAGATAAGGCCCGCACAAGTGTTGTCAGCTGACAGAATCTAGACAAACAAGGGAGATGGTCCACTAGGCTTTCCTGTCTGTTGTCATCTTGATTATGCTGGTTGCTATGGGAAGACCCATCCGAACTGCAGATGGAACCATTCCCTGGCAGCAGACCCCGGACTGAGCAAAATGGGGGTGGGGATGCTTTTTAGAACGGAAATGTTTATTCTGCGCCATTGTATAGCTGTCAAACTATAGTATGGATACTGTGCTGTATGTATGTCAGGCTGTGTCTAAAGTCGGGAAGGAAAGAAAGAAGTATGCTAGGGTTACAGGGAACTCACTAAAAAGGAACACTGTGTCCCCAGAGTAAGACCAATCAAGAGTCTTTATTCCAGCGGACTGGGACCCCGCACAGGTGTTCAGGGACCTAGATGTAAAGTACCCAGAACACTGGGATTTTAGGAGCAGAGGCCTTGTTCAGGTGTCTCATTTGGCAGCTGCAGGGGGTGGGGGTGCTTCACACAGTAAGCAGTTGGAAGCAAAAGCTAAGTGGTTAGCCAGTCCCGAGGAGAGTTCTGCACACATAGGCAGCTAAGATGGCGGTTAGCTGGAGGAAGTTCGGCACAAGCAGTTTTAACAGTGACTGAGATAAGTTAGCTAGGACATCTAGAGGAGAAGGAGATCAGATTCTGGTGAAACTTCAAATGACCTCAGCAAGACTGTAAGATGGAGGAACTTCTGCACTCCTTTCCCGACCGCACTGGTGTTGAATTCGGCTTCTCCTTTTCGTTTCTATTCACTGATAGAATGCTAACATGGAACAGCATCATACACATTCACCTCTCTAGAAACGCTTGCACAGGCACATCAGATGGCATCTCAGGTGACTCCGAATATAGTCAAGCCGACACTGAAAATTAATCATATACCTTGTCAATTTGATACCCCAAATATCCATTTTAACTGTAACCTTCCACCTCCTCTTGAGTGTCCTCCTCCATGACCATCTTAGAAAGCAAAGTCAGTCCAGCTGCAAGAGTCCCTCCAAGGTTAGCGATTCCACCATTGTTCAAAAGCTCAAAGTTGCTGGTAAGATTCAAGGTAGCAGGCCGTGCAGTGGTGGTGCATAGATTTATTCCAGCACTCGGGAGGCAGAGGCAGGTGGATCTCTGCGAGTTCGAGACCAGCCTGGTCTACAAGAGCTAGTTCCAGGACAGGCTCTAAAGGTGCTGTCTCGAGAAAAGAAAAAAAAAATTCAAGGTACCCTCTTAACTGTGAGCCCTGGTTTAAAAAAAAAAAATTAATGCTTCCAAAATACCACAGCACAAAAACTTCCCCATTCCAAGAGAGAGAAATGGTGATGCAGCCAGGATAATACGAGCTGAAGTAAGACTTTTAAGCCACCACGTAATACACTAAATCCTGCAACTCCACACGGAAAGGTCTCAGATGTGGGTTCAAGAGAGACACTGAGATAAGTTCTTCGGGGTAAGGAGCTTTCAGAAGCATCACTAACACCATGGACAGGCAGAAGGGAGACAGCGTGATGGGGCATTGCGTAGGGGGGGGTGGAGAGGGGGGGTGGTTGAGGTCCGCCAATCAGCAAAGAGCAGCACAGCAGGACTGAGTATCTCTCCTGACAGCTCTCTGAGGGAACTAGCGATTCCCAGCAGGAACCAGGCTATATAATTCCCAGGCAGAAGGCAGGAAAGACAGTGGGGAGCAGGATGTGTGTCCACTAGTACCCTCTTTCATGTAAACTCATTTCCCCTGTGGGAAATCCAACCGCTTAGAGGTCTTAGCTAGAGATTCACAGACCATGGTCTCAGTAGAATCCCTGTCAGCAGCACTCCTGCAAAGGGCTGCTCTCCTTATCGTAGCCTGAGAAGTCTGGTCTGGAATCTAAGACGATCTTACATGCATGCATCTGGCACCTGGGATGTGTGATGAAGTCATCTGGACCTCAGGGGCCTTGGTCACCCCTGCCATTCTAGCGACGCCACCTGTAGCATGAGTGTTATCTCCTGTATCAGCTTGGAGACTTTCTCAGCAGATAATCCCCTTGTCCTGGCACTGTCGGCATCCTGGGTTCTCCATTGTCACCAAAGTTCTAGGTTCACAGCTTCATAGAGGAGCTTCTAAAGTTCTCCTTGGAGGGAATCTGCAGCTGCTGCACATTGCTTGACTTCAGAGGCTTTCTGGAAGCTTGTTGTAGGACTCTGTAGCCCAGTAACTGTTGCATTTTGCGTTTCTGCAACATCCAGTATCATTCACAAGACGCTGCCAAGGTCTGTACTGGCTCAAGATGCAATCTGACCCTCTTTGATAACAGCCATAGCTACTGTGTCTCAGTAACGGAACCAGGGAAAACACATTCCCAGGAATGTCTTGAGTAGGAAGTATGTTCAGTAGACCTCTCAGCTCAGGGTCTCTCCTTTCCAATAAATCTGTCTTTACACGAGATGGAGCCTTCAATGGACAGAGTCTTGCCTCAGATCTAGTCCCAAGGAAGAGCTCGGGGTTTGTCTTCAAATAATGCTGATCTCCGTAACAATTATAGTGGCCTCCTTTTCACTAGTTTTGCCTCCTTTACATGCATTTCCTTGCTAAACTACATATTTTTCTGTTCTCTGTCACTGGAGATAAAACTATGAGTAGCAAGTAGAGGTCTTGCCTCAACCTAGATGTGATGATGTCATGACATTCCCTCCACCACTTTAGTCCATAAGGCGCTCTCTCTCTCTCTCTCTCTCTCTCTCTCTCTCTCTCTCTCTCTCTCTCTCTCTCCTTCTCTCAAAAACAGGGTCTCTATGTAGCTCTGACTGTCCTAGAGCTCACTATGTAGACCAAGCTAGTCTTGAACTCATGGAGATCCACCTACCTCTGCCCTTGAGTGCTGGGATTAAGAGCATGTACCATTACACCCAGCTAATCCATACATTTTAATTCAGCATTATACATGTTTTTGGAACTCTGGAAGAATATATACAGGCTATAACATGGATGACATCTAGTTCAGCTCCCAGTAGAGTCTTCATTCTGTTCTGGAACTTTCTGTGCCTATTCTATGCTGTTCACATTTCTGCCAGCATTCTTGTCTCATCCCGGAATAGTCCATTATTCTTTGGCAAAAGAACTCTAGCACTTCTGTGTCTTCAAAATCTTCAGCATTGTTCCTTTAAACTGGTTCAAAAGTTTAAACCTGTGAACTGAATGAACTGAATGGCCAGATTTCGTGTACCAGCTTCCCAACCTTTCACACCCAATCGTCTGTATCAGTCACTTTTCTCGTGGAGGCAGCCGAATATCTAGCAAGAAGAAACAATGTAGAAAGGGTCCACTTGGGTTCACAGTTTGCCTGAAACAATCCATCATGGCACAGGATGGAGGACTGGAGCTGCGTTAGTTTGTGTTCTGTGGTAAGAACAGCATGGCCCAATGCAACATGGCAGAAGAAGTCATTTATGTGGCTTACATTCTGAGACCCCAGATCCACGTGAAGAGTGGTTCTCCTCTCTCTAGTTAGAACAGTTTGGAAATGTTCTTGCAGGCAAATGCTCCCAGAGATGTGACTTTAATATCTGTCAATTTGACAATAAAGATTAGTTAATTTTCACCAAGTTTTTTGAGAATGTGTATGGTAAATCACAATTTATACATTTTTTGAAAGGAACTACTCAGGAGTATAAGATTTAAAATATAGTAAATTAAGAAAATATCAGCCGAGAAGAGGACTCAGCAGACAAAATGTTTATTACAAAAGCATCAGGTCCGGAGTTCATAACCCCAGAAGCCATGTAAAAGCCATGTACGCATAGCCACCTGCCTGCAACCCTAGCATGAGTGGGTGGAGACAGGAAATCCCTGAAGCAAGCTGGTTAGCCAGACTACCCCAAAATTGCAAGCTTTGGGATTTTGTCAGAGATCCTGCCACAATATACAAGACAGATACAATATACAAGATATAACTGGAAAAAACACTTGACATCAACCTCCAATCTCCATCCACATAGACACACAAACATGTGAGCCTGAAAACGGACGTGTACCAACACACATGCAAACATGCGTGTATCCTACAAGTGTGTAATACACTCAAAAAGAGAAGGGAAATGCACACATACCACATATAGTATTTAGAACTATGATGTAAAAAATATTGACCAATTATCTTGAAGTTGGTCTAGTTTAGTCAGTAGGCACATAGGAAACTGTGCATGATCTAGCCCTCGTGGCAAATACTTGCAATCCTAGCACTTGGGAAGTGGAGGCAAGGAGATTAAACATTCAAAGATTAAACATTCTTCTGCTACTTAGACTGCGCTACCTGAGAGCCTGTCTCAGAAAGGAAAGAAGAGGGTGGTAAGATGGCTCAGTGGGTAGAGGTGCTGGCCACAGAACCTGACAGCTTAGGTTTGCCCTTGAGAATCACGTGGTGAAAGGAGAGAGCCAACTCCCACAAGTTGTTCTGACTTCCATATGTGCACCACTGCTATACACATGTGTA